GATTTACACACACCCCAGGTAGTTACAACATGGATTTACACACACACCCCAGGTAGTTACAGCATGGATTTACACACACCCCAGGTAGTTACAGCATGGATTTACACACACACACACACACACAGGTAGTTACAACATGGATTTACACACACACACCCCAGGTAGTTACAACATGGATTTACACACACACACACACCAGGTAGTTACAGCGTGGGTTTACACACACACACACACCCCAGGTAGTTACAGCATGGATTTACACACACACACACACACACCCCAGGTAGTTACAGCATGGATTTACACACACACACACACACCCCAGGTAGTTACAGCATGGATTTACACACACACACACACCCCCCAGGTAGTTACAGCATGGGTTTACACACACACACACACACACACACACACACACACACACACACACACACACACACACACACACACACACACCCCAGGCAGTTACAGTGTGGATTTCTTTGAGCTATTTCCTGTTGGCCTGTGGCCTGGTACCACGTTCAGTGCTGGGCTGAGTGAACGAGCAGCTGCTTGATTCCCTGTGAATGGCAGGAAGCTGGGTGTCCTCACTCCCTTGCCAGACTTGCCAGCCCATCAGACCACCAAGCCTGATTGGGTCACAGTCATCTCTGCTGCCCTTTACTAAAGCCCACTCCTGATATCCTGAGGCATCCATTTCCCAGCCTGTTAATAGTTCACTTTCTGCTTCCACTTGGGCAGGTTCTTCAGACCCAGAAAAAGAAAGCGTTCTCTACTCCAACCGAGCAGCATGCCACTTGAAGGACGGGAACTGCATAGACTGCATCAAGGACTGCACTTCGTGAGCGGGCAGGGCTGACTTTGGGGTGCTGGGGGCTCGGGAGGGGAGGCTGGGCTTCTCTGGTCCCACCAAGTTACCTCTGCGACAGATATTAGGAACTGTCACTAAGTGTCAGCAGGTCACTGAGAATAGGAAGCTGTCTTTGGTCCTTGTGGCCCCTGACTTGTGTCTTTGGAGCCTCAGCTCTGCTGCTGAAAGGAGTAGGGTGGGCAGTTAGAGGTAGGCCTTTAAGGCTTTGTGAGATCTGGGACCTGGGAATGAGGTAGAGTTGCAGACTAGTGACTGGCTTGCTCAGGTTTTTTTCTGGGGTGGATGTGGGTGAGAGAGGGAGGGAGGGAGAGAAAGAAAGAGGGATGGAGCTTAATAGCCTCGAAAGAAGTAAGCAATGACCAGGTGTAGGGGACGTTAAACAGTTTTTCATACTTTCTTCTTCAAGCCAATCTGAGATTGCCTTCATGGTCATCGCTAAACTAGCACATGTACCTTAATGTGTTCTCAGATCTGATATCGTGTGACATTGCCTTAGATTCATGCCCTGGTGATAGGTGGGAGAGGAGGAGAAGGGTGAGCATGCTCGTGGAGCCTGTGCTCAGTTGATTTTACCAGGCCCTGTGCTAGGTTTCCTTCGTGGAGCGCTCATAAGCACTCTGGGGGGTAAGTCAGCCATCCTTCCCAGGGTAGAACTGGGTTGTGGAGGATTGAGGCTGTAGAGTGATTTGCCTGGGGTCACATGGTTAGTGGCAGAGGTGGAATTCAGACACTGCTCCATCAGACTCCAGAGCCTGTTTGTTATTCCCACTTGGCCACGCTCTATAGAAACATAGAAGCATGAAAGCTACAAGACACTTATTCTTGATTTCGGGGGATTGCAGCTATGAAAATCGATGCACACGCGCACACATTTCACAACAGTAGTGGTTCTCTGCCCTCTTTCCCTACTCCACTTCAGTCTAAGTTGAAAAGTCCCTCTTCTAAGACTTCACCGTCTAGCATTGTCTTGTCAGAAATGACCTGCCGTGTACTGAGTGCTGCAGACGCCCTATCTGGAAGGAACTGCGGCGGGGAGCCCTGGTGACTCGGCAGCCCGATGACATTTCTGCCTCCTGTCCTAGAGCGCTGGCCTTGGTCCCCTTTGGCATGAAGCCCCTGCTGCGGCGAGCGTCAGCCTACGAGGCTCTGGAGAAGTACACCCTGGCCTACATGGACTACCTGACCGTACTGCAGATTGATGACAGTGTGACGTCAGCCTTGGAAGGCAGCAGCAGGTGAGCCCGAGCCACTGAGGTCAGTCTCTCTGAGACGTCCTGTCCTCCCTGATTAGCTTGGAACCATTGGTTTGGTCGTCTTCTGGGAGGATCCCTTTGGGCTAGCCTTAGAAACTCCTAATGAGCATGTGCAGAAAGTGTGGAAGGACAGTCTGCTGTTGTATTTTAGCAGGTTTTTAAGGGGTCAGAATTACTGAGTTGTGGGGTCTTGGGGTTTTTTGTGTGTTTTTTTTTTGCCTAGATGCTCAAATGCGTTCACACAGTCGTACTTAATTGAGCTCTGTTTAAGCCGGGTTCAGTGGGGAATACCAATATAAAAAAGATAGACCCCACTTGCTCCAAAGAGCTAACTAGAGTGGGGAAAGTAAGACACAGAACAAGCAGCTGTCACCCCGGGCTGTAGGGCTGTTGTTTGTGGATATGATTCAGTATATTGTACTGTGACCCCTTCACAAGGCCCGTCAGGTGAAATGTCTTTCTGGTCTTCTGTACTGATGCCCTCATTTGGGTAACTGGTCATGTTTCCCCTCTTTGCATGGTCTGTTAGAAAGCCAGACACCACACTAACAGAAACCCTGAACAGGACTCCATGGTATCTGTTTAGTGCATCCTTTCTGGCTTGACTTGTTTTCTCTCTGCTTCCTTTTAGTCTCTGTCATTCAACAAAATCTGCCACTTATGTACCAGACTTTGCACTAGGGCCTGGGCTGATGACTGAGACATACCTCTTCCTGCCCTAATAGAGCTCCTGGTCTCCAGGAGGATGGCAGTCAGTCATAGGCAAACCTGCAGTGTGATGAGTGCTGTGGTAGAAGGCACCTAACAGCCAGGGGGAGTCCAGAGAGGGCTTTCCAGAGAAGGTGAGCTGAGACAGAGAGATGAATAGTGCTCTGGGCCAGGGGCCAGCAAGGAGCACGGGCAGCGTGTGTGAGGTGGGTGAGTAGGAGGCATTAGAGGGATTGCGAGAAGTCCACTGCTCATGGTGCTGCACGCGAGCAGCTCGGTTCAGGAAGGATGGTGAGGCCAGATCACACAGGGCCTTGTGTCCAGGAGCTTGGATTTAATCCAGACACAGTGAGGCATCGTGAAAGGGTCTTTAGCAGGGGGGCAACATGAGCAGATTTGAGAGAAAAGCTGAGTGGCTGCCCGCTGTGTCGACCATAAAGGAGAACAGAATAGGAATGGGGCGGGCAGTAATCCAGGAGAGATGGTGGATAGAGAACAGTGGGACCAATCCAGGGGACATTCAGGTGGTATTTCAACAAGTGTTGGAGGTTGGAGGGTGGGGGGAAGGGAAGAAGAGAGGAGGCGTCCAGGTGGTTGACACCCTGAGTTGGAGGTGACTGTGGGGCGGAGACCAGAGAAGCAAGAAGCCGGCTGGGCATTTACATGCATTCAGAGCAAAGGAGGAAAAATACGGGCCGAACATAGAGATCTGAAGGTCATCAGCATAGAGGCGGCTTGAGGTTGTGGGAAAAAAAAAGAGCATCACAGCAAGTGTGTGGGGGGAAGAGGATGGAGTTTGAGGAATCCAGCATTTGAGGGACGTACAGAGGAACCGCAGCAGGAGCGGGAGGAGGACACTAGAGCGTTTAGCATCACGGAGGCAGGAGCGTTTCAGGGGATGAAGGTGTCATCCGGATCAGGTGTTTCGATGAGCTTACGTACACTCAGGGTTTAGGAATGAAGTCACTGGTGATTCTGATGGAAGCAGTTCAATGGGATCCGAAGCCAAATGGCAGTGGGCTTAAGGAGCCTGGCTGGGAAGGGGCAGAGCGGTGTAGCTGCTGTGTCAGGGGTCTGTCCGGGAGGAGGGGGCTAGCTGCTGAGCGTTGGGTCGGTAGAGAGATAGGATGCAGGTGTGGGAGAGGGCGGTGCGGCCCAAGAGAGGCAGGGAAGGATGGATCCCGAGCCGAGGTGGACGGATTGGCCCTGTCAGCTCTTCTGTTTTGATGGGAGAGAAATAGGAATTGTCGTGTGCCCGTGCAGGTAGGTTTGTGTTTAGGGTGTGAGGAAGTCCAAGGAGGAGGGTTAGGGAGCATAGTGGAGGAGGGTAGAGTTTTGAAGCAGCTGGGCCGATCAGAAAAACAGCTTTGGGGGCTTAGAGCCGCTGAGTATGTAGTGATATCAGCCTGTGAGCTCTTCATTCTAGTAACACAGGAACATTGTTGTAGGAGCAGAAGTTACAGTCAGCTTCATGTACTCACTCAGCACCTACTTAATGGGCCCTCGTGGGTGCCAGGTAATGTGGCAGGTGCTGGAGATCAGTTAACAAAACCAGCATGGTCGCTGAGCCTAGAAGGTGGGAGTGGGGAATGGGAAGTGGAGGAGATTCTTCTGGGGGGAGGGGAGAGCACATGCAAAGGCTTGAGCGTGAGGATCAAGAGGCAGTGTGGCACACGATAAAAACGGAGGGGTGGGAGGGCACCAGGCCTCAGGCCCTGCCAGCCTAGTGAAATGGGAACCACTGAAAGATTTTAAAATTTGAATGACGTAAGATTTGCATTTTTTAAAAAGTCTCTGAGCGTTAATCAAATGTCAGGTTTTTGCATGGCCTTGTAATAGATTCATTAAGAAAATATAAAACATGTGGTTCTTGGGGCATGCATGGTCCCTTGGGGGTCAGGTTTAATTACCTTAGCAAGCACCAGATCATCCCTTTGAAGTTAACATAGTGTGACAAGCGAGGGCCAGGCAGGGAGGGAGTGTCGTGGTGGCCGACCTGAGAAGACGTATATGGTGGCAGGCTCCTGTTCCTTTCCTGCTGCGAGTCAGAAGGGTACAAAGAGATGGTTCAAACCAGGGGCAGATGATAACTGGCTCTCGTATACCTCCTTTGGGCTTACGAGAGGAGGAATATCTTCCTGACCCAGCTGGAAACCTCTCTGTGATCCTGCCTGCCTTTCCAGAATGACCAGAGCTCTTATGGACTCCTTTGGGCCCGAGTGGCGCCAGAAGCTGCCCTCTATCCCCTTGGTGCCTGTTTCCGCTCAGAAGAGGTGGGAGTGTTCGCCTTCGGGATACTGCAAAGAGACAGCTAAAAGCAAATCCAAAGAAACCACAGCTACAAAGAGCAGAGGTAAGCTGTGACTTCCTGCCCAGAGAGAGTCCAGTCTCCCCAGGGCCACTTTCTTTAGAGTAATCCTGTAAAAATTGGCCTCGTGTAAGATGAGTTCTTTTTAAAATCCTATAAACAAAGTAAAAAACAAAACAAAAAGGGCTTAACCTCCTAGAGATTGTCTCCTCAGCTCTACAGTGGGCGATGAGAACTCCTACCCCACAGGTGTAGGGATTAGACGATGTGAGGCTCGTTGAGCTCCCAGCCTGGCGCACAGGTATCTGGTGTTAGTTCCCTTCTCATTCCTCCGGCAGCATTTGGATGTATCATGTAGGATGTTTTTGGTTGAAAGAACAGAAAAACTTCATGTGGTAAAAATAATAAAGAATTTATTGGCCCATATAACTGAAAGGCCTGGAGTTCAGGTTCAGGCATGGCTTGCTCCAGCAGCTCACTACATCATCAGACTCTGGCTCCATTTCTCTGCACTTCTGTCTGCGCTCTTCTCTAATGTGTATCGTCTTTGTCTGCAGGCAGCCTTCCCTCCAAAGTAGTACAATAGCTGTAGTAGTTCACTGACTCGCATCCATGTGCCATGCCTCATGACCCAGAGGGAGAGAAAGAGTTCTTTTTCTGATAGCTACCTAAGAGAGGGTTTCTTTCCCCCAAATCCCTAGCTCCTCTTTTCTTAATTCATTTTGGCCTTATGTGGTCACAGGCCACTCCCTACACTAGTCACTGTGACCAGGGCTTGAGATTTTGTGATGAGCTCAGCTCTATGCCATCTGCTCCACCTCCATAGCTAGAGGAACGCACACACTGTATGAGTCCCTGGAGGAGGATGAGTAAGAGACGGGAGATCAAAGCCAGGTAGCCCCAAACAGGAGACTGTCCACCTCAGCTCTATAAAACCAAGAGGCCCTTCTCCAGGCAGGGGCAACTGGAAACTCTTAATAATGCTCCAGGGGAGTCCTCCCAGCCCAGCAAGTGAGGTATTGAGGATGGGAGGTGCAGAGGAGGCGGGGCTGGAGCCTTGCATCGGGCGTACAGGAGGGCAGGAGTCGTTCCCCTTCCCAGGAGGAAACCTGTCTGGCCGTGGGGAGAATTCCCTCCCTAGAACGAGAAAGTGGGGCGCTAATGAACTCGACGCCTTCAGTGCACCTACCATTTACTTCATTCTTTTGTTGGAGTCACAGCCAGGTGTGTCCCAGGCCCTGTGCTGAGCAGTGTGGCCCAGAGAGGCCCTCGGGAAGCTCTCGGCCCAGTGAGAGACTGAGACGCATAAACAGAGCAATTTAAAATACAGGAGGAAGGCCAAAACATTAATGCGTCGAAACAGTCCCGAGAAGGAGACCACTGTAAAGACCCAGGTTTCAGGAAGGCGTGAGTATTGGGCAGGGAGTAGGAGGCATGAGTACTAGGAGGGAAGCCTAAGGAGCTGCTTCTGAGATTAGAGTGACTTAGATAAACAAAGTGTACAGTCGGTAATAAAAATGTAGTGGTAGTTACTTTAAGAGGTAGTTGAGGTTGAACTATAACCAGGTGCTTATTAATATCTGTGGCATGAATAGATCAATGAGCTTAAATGAATCCAGGCCCGTGATACATCATCACCCACGTGTCCGTCATTTTAAAGAATGCTCACCTCCCTATTAACTCTTTTTGTTTGGTCCTGATAATGACAGAGTGACTCAGGCAGGGAAGGGATCACTCTCCTGACTGCACAGATCGGGAAACCAAGGCCCAGGGAGGTGAAGTAATACGTGGCATTATGGAAGGAACAGGGTTGGGCTTGGAGTCCAGAGTTCTCTGGGCTCTGCCCCTTGGAGCTCCTCAGCCTTTCCTGTGACACCATGGTATGGAGAATTAAGGAACAGATCCCTATTGCTTAGTGTCTGATGTAGCACAGAGTAACCTTTCTCTCCACGGGCTGCCCCCGGAGGCCACATCAGAGATGCTCAGTAGAGGGGCCACCGCCCAGCCTTGCCTGCTACTTCTGTGTCTACACCCCTTCTCGCTGCAGCCGCAGCAGTACGGGTTGGCCTGCACTGTTGTCTAAGCTGTGGAGCCATCCCTCCTTTTCCTCCTCTATAAAAATGCTGGGTTGGCCTCTGGGGGTAACCTTTAAATGTAAGACTAATCTCCCCAAGTCTAGAAATGCAATAATCCCTCTCCCCTCCCCCAAACAATTTAACTTTTTAAAATCAGGAGGTATCTCACAATCAGTGTCAAAAGAAACTTTCCTGCCACCACTTCCCCTACCCCAGCCCTCTGAATTGTTATCAAATACACAGCATCTTGAATTGAAGAAGCCATCGAGCCTCTCGGGGCACGGGAGAGAGGAAAAAGAATTGCTAGTGGGACTCTGGCTGGGCTTTCCAGCTGACTTGGACCCCACCACGTGTTGTTGGTGAGATAGGTTCCTATCTGCTCACTCAAGTCCCAAGCCGGGGCTGAAAGCTTTATGTGTGTAAAGGACTTCACATGAGATGCATTAAAACGAACATACACTTAAGAGCTACGCAACGGCAGTCCCACTCCTAGAGAATCGAACACGTGTTCACATAAAAGCTTGTCCACAAATGTTCACAGCATCATTATTCATAGCGGCCCCAAAGTGGAAACAACCCAAATGTCCCTCAGATGATGAATGGATAAACAGAATGTGGTATATCCATACAGTGCAACACCATTTGGCCATAAAAAGGAAGGAAATTCTGATACATGGTACAACACAGATGAACCTTGAACACACTATGTGAAGTGAAAGAAGTCACAAAAGAGCACATATTGTATGATTCCGTTTAGATGAAATGTCCACAGTAGCAAATCCTAAAAGACGGAAAGTAGATTGGTGGTTATCAAGGATGGGGGCAGGGGAATGGGAGGGACTGCTAATGGGTATGGGGTTTCTTTTGGAGGTGATGAAAATGTTCTGGAATTAGGTAGTGGTAATGGTTACATAACTTTGGGAATACACTAAAATCAGTGATTTGTACACTTTAAAATGGTGAATTTTATGGTAGATAAATTGTATCTCAATAAATTTTAAAAAATAATAATAAAATACAGGAGGAAGAACAGGTGCTTTAGAGTCTCTAATGTTTGAGGAATTCAAATTGGGAACTGCCATCAGTGTGCTTGGGAGAGCTGGGGAAAGGCTCCTGGAGGTGACAGGTTGAGCTGGGCCTGAAAGGCAGTGGAAGGAGTGAGAGAATGAAGTGGTGGGGCATCGCTGGTGGCTAGCGGGGACAAGCGTGGGGCAGTGTGGGGTGCGTTGCAGAGCCGAGGTGAAGCTGAGGATGTGTGCGCATTGCAACCCACTGGCTCTGCTTCTAGAGAAACTCTTGCACATGTGCACAAGGAGACATGTACAAGGACGTTCAGAGCAGAGATTCGGTAAGAGGGACTTCCCTGGTGGCGCAGTGGTCAAGGATCCTCCTGCCAATGCAGGGGACACGGGTTCGAGCCCTGGTCCGGGAAGATCCCACATGCCGCGGAGCAACTAAGCCCGTGCCTCACAACTACTGAGCCTGCGCTCTAGAGCCGGTGAGCCACAACTACTGAGCTCGCGTTCCACAGCTACTGAAGCCTGCGTGCCTGGAGCCTGTGCTCTGCAACAAGAGAAGCCACCGCAATGAGAAGCCCGCGCACCGCAACGAAGAGTAGCCCCTGCTCGCCGCAACTAGAGAAAGCCCACGCAGCAACGAAGACCCAACGCAGCCAAAAATAAATAAATGTATATATATATTTTTTTTAATTAAAAAAATTTGGTAAGAGCGAAAAGCAAAATAACCCAAGTCTCCATAAACAGTAGAACGGATAAATCAGTTGCACTGCAGCAGTGAGAATGAATGAAGCAGTTACAGGTGTATGCGTCCACACAGATGAATCTCAGGAATATAATTCTGAGGGAAAAGAATACATAGAATTATGTATTCCTTTATGTGAAGTTCTAAAACAACGTAAACAATAAATACTTTATAGATACGATTGTATATATAGTTAAACTAACCAAGAAAACGGGGGGGTTGGTGCGCACAGAATTGGGGACGATGGTTTCCTCCCGGGATGGGTTGATTATGGGAGAGGCTCACAGGATTTCAAAGGTCTTAGTAAATGTTCTGTTTCTTAAGGTGAGGGATGAGTTCAAGGGTATTAGTTTTATTCCTAAAACCTTACCCTTGTCATAAGTATTGAGTATTTTATAAAGATAGTTTTTAAAAATTGAAAAAGCAGGTTATATGGGAGCTGGGGCTGGAATAATTAACTGGGGCGGTGCAGTGGAGGGCCCCAAGGCCAGGTGGAGCAGCAGGCATTTCACCTTGTTCTCTCTTTCTCCCTTTCTCCCTCTCCCCACCCCGCCACCCCGAAGGCTGGGGCACAGCTGCAGGTGTCGAGTTGGGGAGAACACTCACAGGCTCAGACCAAAACAACTGAGGAGTAGCAGATACCTCTGCCCTTTTCTGGAAGCGCAGGATCTTCACCCATTTTTACCAGATGCTTGTTTATTTAAATACTTTCTCACTCATTCTCCTACTTTAAGTTTATAGGGTGTTCTGCACTTTCTCCTGTTTTCTCACATTTCATCCTAACAGTAGCCCTGTGTGGAGTAGATGTTGCCCCCAATGTATTGGCGAGCAAATTGAGGTCCAGAAGCATTAGGTAGGTCACACAGGACTTCAGCTACTGAGTGGCAGTGCTGAGGCCAGAACCTGGGTTACTTTTTATTGTGTGTTTATCATTGTGTGTGTAAAAGTATGTTTATATCAGGAGTCCCAATCTCTTCCAAAGGAAAAACTGTTTAATATCCCAGAAGCCATTGATCGGGGGTCTCATTACTCAGGCAGGATGCTTTACACAGTGCAGGAACGCTCTGGGGAGAGAGCGTTGTAGACGGCTTAGAAGAGACGCTGCCCAAGAGATCTCCTGGAGCTCAGCTGGGCACCTGCTCCATGGTTTTTTCCTCTTCTGAATTTGTATCTAGTGCCTTCTGCTGGGGATGTGGAGAGAGCCAGAGTTCTGAAGGAGGAAGGCAATGAGCTTGTAAAGAAGGGGAACCATAAGCAAGCGATTGAGAAGTACAATGAGAGCCTCTGGTTTAGTAACTTGGAATCCGCCACGTACAGCAACAGGTACCTTCCACACGGCTGGCCTGGGAGATTTCAGGACACCGAACATTCTCCCGTAGTCTTCTCTTAGACTGTGATGGGCTCTGCATCCCGGCATTTAGTCAGTACAGGCATACCTCGGAGATATCGCAGGGTCAGTTCCAGACCACCACAGTAAAGCAGATATCGCAATAACTCGAGTCACACGAGTTTTAGGGTTTCCCTGTGCATCTAAAAGTTACGTTTACATTATACTGTAGTCCGTTAAATGTGCAATAGCATTATGTCTAAAAAACAACGTACGTACCTTAATTTAACAATACTTTATTGCTAAAAATTGCCAGTCATCATGTGAGCAAGTCATAGTAGTAACATCAAAGATCACTGATCACAGATCACTGTAACGAGTATAATCATAATGAAAAAGTTTGAAATATTGTGAGAATTATCAACATGTGAAACAGAGATACAAAGTGAACAAATCCTGCTGGAAAAATGGTGCCAGTAGACTTGCTCGATGCAGGGTTGCCACAAATCTTCAATTTTGATATCTGCAAAATATCTGTGAAGCACAGTAAAACGAGGTATGCCTGTGTGTTACAGTTCAAAACGTGCATTCACACTCTGGTCACGGTGGGATAGGCGTTGCCAGTGGCACTCACTCTCTTAAAGGGCAGAAACTGAGGGGTGCCCAAGGGGAGCCTGGGCTTTGTTCGCCCCCCCACCCCCCAAATTTTCATTAACCAGAAACACATAGGATGTGAGTAAAAGCTATGGGCTTGCTATGCAAACACACCCCCAACACAAGTATCAAAGCCTCTGCACCTTCCCCGACTCTCACCCCGTGGGCTTCTCCAAGACCCTCTGGTTAGAAGTTTCGGCACTGTCTGTCTGCGAGCACCAGGGCAGAACCCAGGGTATGGATTAACTATTGCCTGGCCTGAGCAAGAGAGAAGGGTCCAGTCTAGCCTGAGGGGTTGGACTTGCGGCGCTATAGAAGGGCCTGCGCCCTGAGCCGCTGCCAGTGGTCGGTGATTCTTTCCACCAACAGTGAGAGCCTGGGAGCCAGGGTACTGTCTCTTTATTGTGTAGGAGTCCCTGCTCAGCAGTAGCCCTCAAAGGTATTGGTAGTAGATGCTCATCTTGTTTTAATGTTGAGAAAACCAAGGCTCAGAGCAGGAAGGGCTTTTCCTCAGCTCACCCAGCTGGTAAATGGCGGAGACAGAATTGGAACCTGGCTCCAGTGAGATCTGTTAGTTTTACTGTCAGAAGCTTGAAACATTCAGCAAGGGACCAGATCTGATCCAAACATTTGTTATAAGTCGTTAATAAATCTTGTGAGTCTGTTTCCCCTTCCCAACATTACTCTTTAGTTCAGAAATCTTGGGTCTCCTATAGGCTCACCGTTCCTTACCCAAAACTCTGGGATAAAATGTGTTTCCGGTTTTAGGAAGGTATCATAGTGCATATGCTGAGTCACATAACACTCCAGCAGGGTCTGGGCATCTCGCAGAAGTTAATCGTTAAGTGTTTCTGCAGTGAAACATACGGAAATTCCAGGATCACGTGGAATGGTGTAAAGAAAGACTAAGCAGCCTCATGTAAGTTCAGGTCAGGTTTTGCTGCCAAATGAGTTGAAAAGGGAACTTTTAAAGCATGGATTTTGGCATTTTGGATCTGTGGTTTTACTGGCCAATTGGACCCAGGTGCCTGTCAGCCAGGCTAACTCGGGAAAAAGGGCTGCAGCCCCTTTGTTCATGTTTGTGCAGCAGCATCTTTTTTTTTTTTTTTTTTTTTTTTATATTTGGCTGTGTTGGGTCTTTGTTGCTGCGCGCGGGCCTTCTCTAGTTTCGGCGAGCGGGAGCTGCTCTTCGTTGCGGTGCGCAGGCTTCTCATTGCGGTGGCTTCTCTTGTTGCAGAGCATGGGCTCTAGGCACACGGGCTTCAGTAGTTGTGGCACGTGGGCTCAGTAGTTGTGGCACGTGGGCTCAGTAGTTGTGGCGCACGGGCTTAGTTGCTCCGCGGCATGTGGGATCTTCCTGAACCAGGGCTCGAACCTGTATCCCCTGCGTTGACAGGCAGATTCTTAACCACTGCACCACCAGGGAAGTCCAGCATCATCTTCTAACTCCTCTTTCTGTGGGCTCTCTGGCCTTGCTTATTACCTCATGTTGCTGGAGACCTCTATTAACCCATTTTCCTGGATTTTTACCACATTCAGGACAGTGTTTTATTTAAACATTGATTTTATTTAAATACTGATTTTCATGCAAATACGTCTGTGCCACACTGTTAATTACTATTGCTTTGCAATATATCTTGTAGGGCTGGTCTTTTCTTTAATCTTCTTAATCAGAGTATCCTTGGCTATTTTCCCAGCTTTGATCTTCTAGCTAAACCTTAGGTTCACTGTGATAAATTCCAAACTGTATCTTGTTGGGCTTTTGGTTGTAATTACATTGTAATTACATTGATTGTATAACTTTAATTTAGAAGACTGAAGGTAATTACATTGATTGTATAAATTTAATTTAGAAGGCTGAAAACTTTATACAGATCAGTTTCCTATCCATTGTGGCGGAATATACCACATCCTGGATGACATTTTAATGCTCCACTTCATACATATGCATCTGTATGGACCAGTGCATCATCTTAGGCTCCGGTTCTGTCTGTACAGTTGATACCTGAGTGGATATCACTGTCAGGTACTTGGCACCTACAATTTGCCAGGCCCTGAATGGACCTCCGAAGAGTCTCATTTAGTACTCACAGCAGTCCTTCAGGTTAGTCCTTCAGGTTAGGTCATGGTCCCAGATCATTTAATTTTAGAATTAAATGATCATAAAGTTAAACAACTAATACATGGTGGAGCTGTGATTTAAGTCAGGTGTTTATACTCCAAAGCCTGAGTTCCTTTTCACTCACTTGTCTCCTTCATAATGAAAACCCTCTGATTGGATACAAAATCATTCTGTGTACCAAAAGCCAAGGGTGTTTATTTTATAGGCCAAAGTTATGCATTTTTCACATCTTGAATATAATCTTTGGAGCTCATATGTTATTTTCATTGCAACATTTATATTCGGAAGTCACTAAATAGTACCTAATGCTTATACTGTGGTTCCTCTACTTCCCAGAAATTTGGCTAATTCTTTAAATTACCAGAGTCCATTGAGAGAACACTTTAGTTTCCTTAGAATTCTTCTATGTTCAAATTTAGATCAGGGACTACTATTCTAAAACTTAGTGGCTGACAACAGCTGTTTTATTTTGCTCACGATTCGTGAGCCAGGAATTCGGAAAGGGCAGTTCTTACTCCGGGTCTGTCATTCAGGGTCAACAAGATGGTAGCTGGGACTGGAGTCATCTAAACACTTCTCCTGCATATCTGGCACCAGAGCTGGGATGATTGAAATGGCTGGAGAATGGAACTGATAGAGCAAGCTGGAGCCTTTTTTCTTCTCTCCTGGCAGCCTTGTCACATATGCTGGCTTGAGTGTCCTCACAGCATGGTGGCCTCAGGGTAGTTGGCTTCTCGCATAGCAGCTAAAGGCTCCAAGAGCAAGCGTTCCCAGAGAACAGGCTGACGCTACAAGACCTCTGTAGTCTACCACTGGGACTCATACGTTCCTCTGTACTCTGTTGGTCAGAACAGTCACAGAACCTGCTTACATTCAAGAGGAAAGAACATAGGACCTCTTCAATGGGAAGAATGCCACAAAATTTGTGCCTGCTTTTAAATTGTTACAAGGAGAAGCTTTTTCTAAGTTATAAGTTCCATGCAATCTCAGTGAAAATACTAGAATTTTTTTACATTCTTGGTAATAATTCCATAATTTGTCAGGAAAAGAATAACAGCGTAAGAGAATTTAGATATGATAAAGTGTGGGAAAAAGAGGAATTATCCAATAAATGGTGTTGGGTTGGCTGGAGAGAGTTCAAAAGGAACCCGAATCCCTACCCTCACTCCTTATTTTAAAATAAATTCTAAGTGGATCACAGTTTTAAATGTAAAAAGTAAAACCATTAAGTTCTAGAACAGTGTGTGGGTTAATTATCTTGCAGTGGGGAGGGTATTTGGTGGTAGTGGAGGGGGACCCACAGAAGTCATTAAAGAAGTTGGATAAATTTTATTTCATAAGATTTAAAAATCTTATGTAAAGACACTCAGCTTTACCTATATTTAAAGCAACTACATTAAAACAGATGCTATTTTCTTCCATATTGGCAGAAGTTAAAGGTTGAGACCCAGGGTTGGTACAGTTGCAGGAAAATAGTCTCTGTTAGTAACTGTTCTTAAGTACACTTGACCCTTGAACAAGGCGGCTGTTGGGGGCACTGACCCTCCTTGCAGTCAAAAAATCTCGGCATACTTTACAGTCGTCCTCTCGTATCTGCGGTTCTGCTGCATCCATGGAGTCCACCAAATGCAGATGGTGTAATACTCTAGAATTTGTTACTGAAAAAAGTCTGCATATAAGTGGACGTGCGCGGTTCAAACCCCTGTTCCTCAAGGGCCAGCTGGTTTTTGGAGAGCATTTTGGTAATAATCAAAAATTTAAATGTATGTACCTTTTGATGCAGCAGTCGCTCCTAATAGGCGTCTAAGATTTATGCGCAAGGATGTTCATGGTAGCATTGTTTATTTATAAACTGGAAACAGTGAAAAATGTCTACTGATAAGGAATTAATAAAATAAATTATGGTACATACAAGTGAATACTATGTATCCATTAAAAAGTGAGGTGGAATGGATATCTGTTTTGTTTTTAGTGATTATCTTTGGGGGAAAGGACTAAAATTGAATGAGAGAGATACAAATATATACTTTCCCCCCGCCCAGTTGATGCAGAATGTGAAAATTTTCAAAATGTAAGTTGAATGAATTATGTATTGAACACCCATATACTTCCCAGTTAAATTCATAAACATTGTTATAAAATCAAGTACGCTTCAGTTAAAAAGAATAGTTATATTTGCTTTGTCACTATAGCCATCTGTTGATCCACTTTATCATCTTTGATGCGTAAGTTGTAGACATCTTTACATTTCACCCCTAACATGTCAGCATGCCTGCTATTTACTTAGAGCCTGGTATTTGTTTTTTTTCTTGAGGTAGATAATTTTTTATCAAGGGGAGCGTTTCGGGAAGCCTTTTATAGCTTGAAAGAGTACAGTGTGGGAGTGTAAGGCGGAGAGAACAATAGCACCGAACACGGTCAGGATCTCGGGTCGTTTGAGCCCGGGTTGAGTCCCAGGTCTGCCCCTCTGTAGTGGTGGAAGATTGGCGCGTCCCTTCAACCCTCTGAGCCGCGTCACCTCTGCAGAAGGGGGCTGGGTGGCTGTGAGGACTGAGGGAGGTAGGAAGCACCCAGCACGGTGCGTTCGGGGAGCTGCAGGGCGCTCCTCAGACCGCTGCGTGGCCCGCTCTTTCCCCTCAGGGCGCTGTGCCATCTGGTGCTGAAGCAGTACAAGGAGGCCGTGAAGGACTGCACAGAAGCCCTCAGGCTGGACGGAAAGAACGTGAAGGCGTTTTACAGACGGGCTCAAGCCTACAAAGCACTCAAGGTAAAGAGGTTCTGGCCGGAGGCACCAACAGGGCTCCAGCCAGTTGTGCCTGTGCTGGCACTTCCAGAGCACGGCTAAGGTGAGGCGTACCTGCCACGTGCCTTCTCGTCCAGGGGCCCGGGTGCTCCAGGCAGGCCTCCAGGCTGGGGTGCAGAAACCCTCCGCGGGCTTAGCAGCGGTCCCCACCCCTGCCTGGTCTCCGTGGGCCAGGGCTCCATCCCCACACCCTCTCTCTCCTCTCAGGACTATAAAGCCAGCTTTGCGGACATCAACAACCTCCTGCAGATTGAGCCCAGGAACGGTCCCGCACAGAAGCTGCGGCAGGAGGTTAACCGGAGCTTAAACTGAAAACCCAGAGGGGCAGCAGGACACCTCCGCCTGACCACCTTCCTCCGTGCCTGCTCCCGGGACCCGGCATGCCCCAGAGCAAGCTCCAAAGCACCCTCCTCTGTCCCTCAGAGATGTGGTGGCCTCCCACCCCTCAAGAGGACTTGCTGTTCACATTAAGCTCGGTGTAGTCAAAAACAAGACGTTCTGTTGGAAAGGTCTCTCCCTGTTCCGAACTCCCTGTGCTGCAGACAGCGAGCGGGTCACACAGACAGGTCCTCATAGGCAAAGCCCTCGGCTCTGTCTCTGCCCAGCACGCTCCAGAGCGAGTTGCCCTTCCAGCGTCACCAGGCACCCTCACCGTGGTCCACCTGAGCAACCTGGGCTGGGGCGTGGGGGGCACCGCGAAGCCCTGACCCGCCTACACCCAAAGCAGCCTGTTGAGCTGGTCTCCAGCGCTGCTGTCCCTGCCCGGTCCTTGGCACAGCGCTCTGTGTTCTAAGCCCCAGTGCCTTTTGGCCGAGCCCTCCTTTGGTGGGGATGCAGGACCTGGCCCTTGGCCGGCTTTGTCTGTGGCTCTGTGCTGCCGCCCCCTGCGTGGAGGCGCCTGAGCTGTTTCAAGAGCCAGACGGTGTGGCTGCCACTTTGGAAGGCGAGACAGGGAGAAAGGCCTCCTGGAAAGTCAGTGTCTTTCCGTCCCGGGCAGAGACCCCTCGAGGCTTCTTAGTTCCTTGTAATATGTTGACGTTAATCTGAACTGAACTGACTGATTCTGTTGAACCCTGTGTTGAAGCTACTGCATTAATGTTTTCTACATAAATGTCTGTTGTACTTTCATTTATGCTTTTTCAGTTTTGGTTCATTTCGGAACTTTGCAATAATTAAAAAAAAGACTGCTTATGGAGCACTCATCCATTCTTTGATCAGATTTACTGGAATGTCTGCATGGGCCAGGCCCTACGTATAGTGCTGGGGAAACAGCGGTGAGTAAATAGACACGGTCCCTGCTCTCGGAGGGCTGACTGTCCCATGGGACGCAGGAAGTTAATCACACAAGAGTGAAACTGCACTGGCTTAAGTGTTCTGAAGGAGTGGTCGCAACACGTTCCTCAACTAGGGAGGTTTGACCCCGTGAAGGAAAAGCGGTCCCTGAGGAAGTCAAGTCTGAGTTAAGTTCTAATGTGGGGATCACAGCAGGAGAAGAGGGGAGGGAAGAGCAATCCAAGCAGACGGAACAGCAGTGGGGAAGGCCTCTGCTGGGAGGACAGGGCCAGGAAGTGCCATTCAGCCTCACAAAGTGTGGTATGGGTGAGGCTGGGGGCGCCTCCCCTGCCTGCCTGGACTGTGTCTTAGCTTAAATTGTTTTCATCTATTTTTTTTTTTTTTTTAAATTGTTTTCATCTTAATGGAGAAGTTTGACTCCAGAAAGCCGGGCAGACAGGGTCCGTATTGTCCCTTTGTTCCCCCATCCCATTCGGTTCTGGGCAACTTTCACCTGTTAGCACGCTGCTTCCGCCCTCTCCAAGGGCCGAGTCTCTGAGCAACCAGACCTCCAGGCTGAAGCAGATTTTAGAGTCACAGAAACTCCACGGGCCTGGCCTGGGGACCATTTCAAAGCGAGCAGCTGCACCCCCTTTTCTTGCTGCCTCGCAAGCAGGCATGACGCTCACCCGATTTTAGGCAGGTTTAGAGGTGCCATCTAGTCACAACAGACTGACTTTCTCTTCTTGAGGTCCGCAAGGCAAGCAGCTTGATTTCCTCATGAAAACATAGGAGGTAGGTAGACCAGCATAACCTGGAAATCACAACCTAGGAAGGTAACCGAAAGCCTTTCTACAAGAGTGGAGTTGTGACACAATGCCTTAGTCAGCCGGCCCAGAGCGAAGAAGCGGTTACTGCTTCCAGAGGACCCTGCCCTGCAGGCTGCTTGGGCCGGGCACCCAGAACCCGTGCACACGTGGGCACCAGCAGCTTCAGTGCTGTGTGACGACCGCTTAGCCCCCCGCCACACGGTTGGTGGGTGGCGGCCGCTCCTCTGGGGCCCTTACAGGTCATTCTGCTCAGTTCCTGGCAGCTCTGCTCTGTCTGGTGCACGGTTTACACGCCCTCTGTGTGTGTTAGCGCAGCGCGCCTTTGGGTTTCTGTTCCTGTTTCTTACAGCCAAAGCCCCAGCCCAGTCAAGGCTACCCTTTGCTCTGCCCACCTCCCTCTGACACAAGAAGGCCTCCTGGGAGACAAGACGGAGTTTGCAGCACTTTTAATGCACAAAGCAACAGGTAAGAGGCTGGCTGGGTGACCAGCCTTCATTCCACAAAAAGCTCAAGTGCAGATACAGCCCAGTTGGGAAGTTACGGTTCACAGGGCCTTAGAGCCAAGAGCAGGAAACGCGGTTCTCTTGTCAGCCAAGGGAGTAAGGAGTCCATTTTCTGGAGATGAAAAAAATAAATGTTTCTAAAGCATGGCAGACACCCAGTCTTCAAGCAAGGACACAGACGAGCCCAAGCCAGGCGTTCCGGCAGGTTGCGTGGGGCCAGGCGGTGCCCGGGGGAAGGCCAGCCTGTTCTGAGCGAGGCCGCCGGGGCGGCCGGCCGGCCGGCCCACTCGGCACTGGAGTCCACGCCAATTCCCATCACACAGTCTGTCCTCCTTGCCTTTGATCGTCACAGCTTCCCCTGAACCCCTTGGTGCCTCCGAGATAAGCCAGTGACACCACAGCGTTCTCTGTGAATGTCCCTTCCCAGCTCTGTACAGCTTCTGGGCTCGGCTGCTTCGGCACCCTTCCCCTGACCACCACCCACCTGGTCCCGGCGCACGTGCACTCAGGTCTGCTCCGTGGCCTGGTGGTCCTGCAACACCGCCAGAGCCTCTTCGACCTGTGGGACACACGGGAGAGGGGTTGGTGCAGCTGCCCCAGCAGGGTCCTGGGAGAGCCCTGCCTCCCCGCCTTGGCCCACCGGACGCGAGAAGGCCCGCGCCCAGCCCCGCCGCGCCCTCTGACTGTGCTCACTGGCTCCCATGGCAGAAACCCACGGCCACCTTCTACACTGCCAGACGGCCGGGGGAACCCTAACCCTTGGGCTGGGTCAGAACACAGCGCCCTGTCGCACAGTCTTGCCTGGGGAGCTGCAGGGAGGCCGCAGGGGCTGAAGTAGCCGGCCCTTCACTAAGGCCCTCTGCCACCGCCACATTCTGCAGGTGTTAGCTGATTTCAGCAAGAAGATACGCTTCACCTGTCTAAGCAGCAGCCTACCAGCTCGCCTAGGAGAGGCCTTGATCCGTAACCCTCCTTTGCCCCCAGGCCTCCCCGCTCCTCGCAGCCTCCAGCCCACCTTGGCGTTGAGGGACTCTGGGGACTCCAGCAGGAGCAGCAGCTCCGAGTTGTCGATCTCCAGCAGCATGCCCGTGATCTTGCCAGCCAGCTGGGTGTGGACATTGTAGATAAGGGGGTAGAGACGCTCACCTGTACGGAACAGCCTCTGAGGCTTATGCACACACCTGGCGGACAGCCCGGGCATCCCAGGGCTGGGGTGGTATTGTGGAACGCAGCAGAGGGGGCATCCGGGTTTTTGTCCCAGAACTGCTCCCTCCAGCTGTGTCACTGAACACTCTCGGGGGCCTCTTCCCCAAGTGAGCATAGCCAACCCCGCCTTGGAGGCTAGTGTGAAGAATCAAATTTGACGGTACGTGTAAAGTACACTGCATGGGCTCTGACACAAGGTTGGTTGCTGTTTTAAAGACTACTCTTGTTCATTTGGCAAGAAATCACTTGAAGGATCACATTGAAATTCTAGACGGGATGCGATAATGCTGAACTTGACTTCTTGGAGCGACAGGGGAGCCAAGCACACAAGATAAACTTACCTTCCACCACTGGGCACTTCGAGTGACGGGGCCTAGTGTTGGTGGTCAGCCCATCTGGGCAACGTGTGGAGGGTGCAGCCGGGGCTGGAGGTGCTGGGTGCCTCCAGTGGTGGGGGAGGGCTTCTCCCACAAGGGGAGTGAAGATGTTTCCAGGGCACTGCTTACAAGAGCCTTCTACCGCCATGAAGCCCATTTAGAATTTTTCTCTGGGGGTGGGTAGTAAAGTGGCAAAACCCCAAGTGAGCCGAGCAAACAATGGCATGGTGGCATTGGGGGCCTTCCGAGAAGAGTCTGGAGGTCTAGGTGAAGGAAAGAGCCTGGGAACCACAGCAAGCTCGCTCATTCATTCAGCAGGTAGCGGCCTCCTTAAGCAGGGCCCGCCACAGAGGCCGGGATGGAGATGGACTGCACGGGAGATCAGGGGCCAGGGGGAACAATGTCTGTTTCCCAGGACACGTTTATGTTCTTCCTCCCTGCCGTGGGCACTGGGAGACCGATGAAACTCGGTGACAGCCTCTTCCCATCACGAGAGGTGTGAGGTACCACAGCACTCACCTTAGAGGCCATTTCCTGGCAGAAACCCAAGACCCTACCCTTCTGCTCCCCCTCCTGGCCCCTCATCTCCCCACGTCTGGGGTCTCTCCCAGCCTGAGTCGAAGCCACACAACAGCAGAGCTGGAAGAGATCTCGTGACCATCTGGTCTGACCAGGGTCTTAAGACAAGATGAACAGGGTCCTGGGAAGTAAAGGCCCTTTGGGCAAGTCCACCCGGCAGGTGGGTCAGCACGAGGCTGGGGGCCTCGTCCCCACGTCTGACCTCCACTCAAGGCACTTCCCACCAGGTAAGCCGGCTGGTGGCGCCCCCTTCCTGCTCCAGGGTCGAGGAACCAGCCACTCACCGATCATGTGCTTCTGCTCGTGCAGCGGCGCCGCGGCCAGCATGGACGCAGTCAGGGGCTCCTGTCCGGGGACACGCACAGCAGGCTCCTGGACCTGCACGTGGTGTCGGGGACACATCCCTTAACCACATGGATGGGCAAGGCCTCAAAACACTTACCCTCGTCGGGTGAGCACAGGCCTCCAGGAAGGCTCTAGAAGAGGGGGAGCAGGGGGCAAGGTATGGACAATCGGGCGGGACAGAATCCCTAACAAGGGCACGGTGGACTAGACGACAAAGTGACGTCCTAGTGCAGATGTGTTCCGTGGTGCTAGGAACCCTATGCGTGTTGTCAAGTGAAAGCCACACGTTACTGACCACCTGGTGCTAAAGAAAGCACTTTTTAATCGGGTAGCTTTATGGCCGCATCCCCAGCATGATTTCTGACCCTTTCGCATCTTGGTAACTTTAAAACCATTTTGCTCTCTAAAGCCTCCTCTTGTTCATTTTGCAAGAAATAGTTTTGAAGTATACCCACAGAAATTCTAGACAGGATCTGAAAATGCTGACTCGGAGAGTTTTTTAGGGGGCAGGGAGATAAATACACAGCTCTTAATTACAGAAGATATTTTCAGTTCTATTCTGCAGAGCGATCACATCCTCGCTGCTTACTAAGTAAATACTAAGGAAACCCAAGTTAATTTTGGTAATAACCCAGGCAAAGCAAATTGTGATGAACAAACAAAATGTGATCCTGGTCTTTTTTCCCCTCTGTTAGTGGGTGGTGGGTGGGGATATCTCTTCTGATGGTACATGTTCATAAAGGAAACTTTACAAGCCAAGGATAGAAAGAAAACCAAGGCCCAGACAGGGCCAGCACCTTAGACAGGGTTCTGAGCCAAGCACCCCCAGAGCCCAAACTCAGTGGGCAGCTGGGCCAGCCTTACCCGATGGGTGTTGTGTGTTGCCAAGGAACATCTGTGTGTCAGGAGAGGCCCCCTTGGTGAAGAGCATCCTGCCATACCGGGTCCTGTGGTCTGGGTACCGATGTTGGCTGTAAGAGATAAGCAGGGATGGTAAGGCCGACAGCAACCCAAAGGCATGACACCTCAAAACCAGCATTCACGTAGGATCCCCAGCACCGAGTAAAGGGTCAGCACACAGGTGTGCAAA